CCCTGGGTCTGGCTGACACCCGCTTAGCCCACCTTCCAGCGTGGGCATCTCCACCACGAAGAAACGTTATCTCCCGGGCACGTACGGGAATGCCGGCGCTGTTCTAAGCACTCTGCACGTTTAATCTCTGCGACAACTCCACAAGACAGGCACGAAAATTAATCAATCCCATTTTAGAGGTTAGGAAATTGAGGTGCCGAGAGGCGGAGTCCCTCGCTCAGAGTCACGTGGGTAGTAAATGATAAAAGCTGACTCTGAGCCTGGACCTAACCCAGCTCCTCCATGACAAAGTCGATCCGTCTTCCCTCTCCAGAGACAAAGGTGGCCGGGGGCTCAGTGCCTTCAGCCGGCATGTACAGAAGGGTCTGAGCGGCACGGCCCCTCCTCTGCCCACACCTACTGTCCGATCCTCCCGGCCTCCCATCCCCGTCACGTGCTCTGCTCTGTGGGAACTCAGCCTCGACAACACTTTGATGGAAAAAATTATGAAGAATCAAATTATTGCTGCTGGGAGGGAATTAAAACCATTTTTCATTCCCCGCGTCCCCGGGCCACGTCTGCGGGCGCCACCTTGGGAACGCTGCGCACATCCCATCCCTCTTTATGGCCCGCCGTCGCAGGCACAGATTACAGCTGCAATTCTCCACTAATCGGTTCTGGAACAGAAACAGCCATAAATGCGAGGCACTCGGCCTGCCTCTCTTCCCAGGGCTGCCATCAGCACCGCCCACGGCGAGCTGGTGGGGTGCTGTGGACAGGGCCCATCTGAGTCCTGCCTACTGCCCTGGCACAGGCCAGGGCACTCAAAACTGGGGGCATCTCAGCCACCTCTGCCACCCCCACCCCCATTCTACCCAGCAGGCTCCTACTAATCCTGCGATGCCCAACTGCGATGCCACTTCCTCTGGGAAGCCTTCTTTGATGCCCCCAATCTGGGGGAGGTGGCCTCCCTTAAGCTCACCCGAGCTTCTCTGGCCTCTGTTCCCTCTACTATAAAACGGAGATGTCAACAGGACCTCCATCAAAGGGCCGTTGCCAGGATTCAGTAACACTGAGCATGTAACTCGGTGAGTGAGGATCATATCAGCAGCACAGTGTATACCTCTGCTCAGCTCCCAACTCTACAGGTGTTCCACGAGGCAGGACCTCGCTCCAGCTGATCCTCAAGGAGGCCTCAGTGAGTGTGAAGCAGGTGAGTGATATTTTGGGGTGGGCTGGGCTGGGCTGGAGCTCAGGCCAGGCAGAGAGGACCCTACTGGTCCACACGGTATGTGATCTTGCAAGGGGATCCTCAGCTGGATTTCAGCTCCGATTTGGCCCTTTGGCTGGATACCTTTGTTCACGGTACAACCTAGCCAACGGTCCACCGCAGCCTGGGGCAGAGGCTCCATCCAGCCCTGTCCAGGGGCTGGGGAAGGAGCCAGGTTTGCAGAACCTGCTGCCCCACCCCCGCTCTCTGCCCCTCTGTCTCCTCCTCCTGCTCTACTTCTCCAGGGAAGGGCCCCACTGAGGTCTGCAGCCTGGCCTCTGTGGCCCATGAATGGACAGGCACTGGCCACATCTCTGCGCCAGCATGGCAGGGACAAGGTCTCAGGGGGCATCAGCACACCTTGGGTGGCTCCCCAGAGGCGATCCTCTTAGGCTGGGGGAGGGGGCAGCAGGGCGGGTGACCTGCATTTGCAGGCACCGCCACTGTGTAGGCTGCATTCAGAACAGCCGTGCTAATGCCTTGGCAGCAGGGGGTCGATTGCTACTTTCTCCAAACTCATCAACACAATCTATTATTAATACTTCTCCAAAGGCTCAGTACCGCCATTACGGAGGCAGCGCCAGCCACTCGGGGCATCATCTGTTATCGAGATTGCAAAAACTCGGGAAATAAAACAAACCGCGCACACTTTATAAACGGAATGTGCCATCCGTTTGGTCTCGGAGCATCTCTCCTCTCAATAAAACATCAGGGGGGATGCATGAAATACTCGCTCCCAATTACGGGGTGCCTTTGTCTACCGTGCTGGGGTGAGCGCTGCTAACAGCGTGTGTGGGAGGGGGTGGGGCACCAGCGGGTGAGTCCGCACCTCCTTTCCTCAGTCCCTCCCACTGCGGAGGGATTGCTGGAAGCCGCCATTGAGAAGCAGGCCCGGCCACAGGCGCGTGGCCTTGGCATCCGAGGCACCCAGGTTCGATGCCTGATGCCACCATTTCTGGCTGGTGATCGGGCCAGTAATTTCCTCTCTCTGAGCCTCAGCTTACTTATCTGTATGATGGGCTCGACAACACTGCCCGCTTCTCGGTGTGAAGATGCAGTGAGTTGCCAGGATGAAGTGGCAGGCAAAGAGGCAGTGGGTCGGTGGGCTGGAGCAGGCTTTAGAGGCCAGGAGCAAGCCTTTCCAGACGTGCTGCAAATTCTGACCAGAGAGCCAGAGCCGGTCAGGGTAGGAGGCCTCCCCGCCTCCCTTCTGCTCCTGCCCCCATGGGGGCTCTGAGCCTGGAAAGGCCCTGAACAAGGGCCACAGGCACTGGACTTGGAGCCCAGGGCCCTGATCTCCATCCTCACTCAGCCATTCACCAGCTCTGTGATCTTGGGCAGGTCAGAGACTCGGTTTCCTCAACTGTGAGATGAGGACGATAGTTCCCCACTCCCCGGAACCGTGCTGGGGATTCCAGGTGGGTGTGTCTCTGTGGCCCATGCTGGGTGCAGATGGGGGAGGCCCTGGGGTCAGGGCATGGTGGGGTGCCATGGGGAGGCTCTGAAGCTGGGCCCCGGAGGAGCCACCTGTGGCTTCCCTGGCCAGCCGCCTGCCTTGTGGGTGCCAATCCCCCCACCCCTGCTCCTCCTCAGTCCGGAAACTCCAAATAGAGAGGGCAGCTTCGAGACCACATCACAGCGCACAGGCTGGTCACCCACACGACCCTTCTCCCCTATTTTTCATGTCAGCTGCTAAGCCTTTCCTCACACTTCCCTACTGTCTAGATTGGCATTCGCCCCACTCCCAACCTCTGTCCCCCAAACACCTGCCGATTTGGAAGGATTTGGCTGGGGCTTCCCTTCCTCTGAGAAGCCCCTCTCCTCCAGCCTGAGATAGCTGCCTCCCGCTTTGAGTTCCCTGTCCTTACCCCGCTCCCATATGATGACACTTACGATAAAGACTCCACTTGACGTGTTTCCAGGTCCATCTTGCCCTTGGTCATCTCTGTGTCTTCAGTGCTGAGTACAAGGCCCCACACACCAAAGTGAGCAATAGATGTTTGTTGAATGACTATTATGAATCGAACCAACCCAAAGTGCCCTGTTCTTCCTGGGAAGCGGGGCAAGGCAGGCCCACCTCCTCCTGCCCTGGGGACACAGTGCCACCTGGGAGGAGAGCAGTCTGTAGGACCCTGGAAGGGGGTGGGACACTGGAGCGGGTAGCCTGGAGCTCTGTCTTGGCTCCATAACTTTTCCACTGTATGACTTTGGTCAAGACATTTAATATCTCCGAGTCTCAATTTCTTCATCTGTGAAATGAGGTGGATGGTACCTACCCCATGGGGTTGTTGGGTGGGCCAGCGCAGTGCCAAGGGCACTTCATAAAAGCTGGCATCTGCCTTTCTCTTGTCCCATGTATGTCCAGCATGCCTTTGTTGGTCACCCTCACTGGAGTCTCTGAGATTTCTGTGAGCAGCCTCCCCGACCCCGGGTTTAAGATCCCAACCACGCCTCCCTCATGACCACCCTGGGTTCTTGCTCGGTCCTTCTAGCTTCCTTCTGGCCTGAGCTGGACAGAGCACTCCTGGCTCAGTTCTCTGTCTCATTAACATTACTGAGCACTAATAAAGCTCCATTATCATCTACCTGCATCACCTCATTAAATCCTGAACCCTAAAAGCAATGCCGTTTCCCTCCCCATTTTACAGATGAGCACACCAAAGTGAAGAGGGCAGGTTACTCTTTCAAGGTCACATGGCAGCATCACCATATATCCCCTCCCTGCTCTGTGCCTCCAGGTGTTACTTCACTGTATGACCTTGCCCTGTACCCTGAGTACCACACCTCATGTCTGTCTGCCCCCAAGGCTCTGAACGTCTTGGGGCGGGGCCTGATTCATGCAGAATTCTCATTACTCAGCATAAGCATGGTATCCAGTAGGTGTGGCTGAGTGTCTGAGTTTTTCTTAAACCAAGCTGAACATCTCTCCCTCACAAACACCTCCCCCTCCCCAGCATCATCTATAATTGTGGAGCAAGAAATTCTCTCTTCA